TTAATGATTATGTGTGTGTGTGTGTGTGTGTGTGTGTGTGTGTGTGTGTGTTTGTGTGTGTGTGTGTTTGTATGTATGTGTGTGTGTGTGTTTGTATGTGTGTGTGTGTGTGTTTGTATGTGTGTGTGGGTTTAATGATTATTTGTGTGTGTATGTGTGTGTGTGTGTGTGTGTGTATGTGTATGTGTGTGTGTGTGTGTGTCAGTCAGAGGCGTATCAGGAGGATATTTTCCCCATGACGGCGGGCGCTGAATCTGCTCTGTCGGCTGCTGAGTGGCTCAGTGGGATCGACAGAGGTGTGTGTGAGACGTCTTCATCTAACTTTGTGAATTACAGTCGAATGATCCATTAATGATCTGATTTGGTGTGTGTGTGTGTGTGTGTGTGTACAGGGCCAGTGCTGATTTCTCTTAAAGAAGCGTACAAACGACCAAATCCAGTCAGTCTGAGAGCGTCCAGACGGGACAGACGGATGATAAAGGGCATTGATTTACTGGAGAACATCTCCATGAACACAGACAGAGAGGTGTGTGTGTGTGTGTGTGTGTGTGTGTGTGTGTGTGTGTGTGTGTGTGTGTGTGTGTGTGCTCTAATATATAAGATTTAGTATCATAACTAAAAACTCAATATATGACATAGAAATAATACCTTTAATTACTTTTATTTGATGTTTACAATGAAAATCCAGTTAGATCCACTTAATTGTTAAATAAAGCAAGTCTCTCATGTAATATATCTACTACCAAAAGACAGACAATATTACTGTATATACTGTATTGTACATAAATCATATCAACATTTTCACAATTGTCAATAATATTACTGAAATTAATTGAAAAACTGAATAAATAGACGTTTACACACATTTATACAAGTACAAAAATAGGATCAATGATTAGCTGTGGATTTCTGCAGATTTCTTGTGGGCCGACTCATGAGGTCTCAATTGTCCTGACTTATATGGTGAGATCAAACCGAGCCGCTAGTGTTGATATTTCACTGCTCCTCGCTAATTAAAGTGCTTTTAAATGAACTAGAATAAGTCAATAGTATCTGGATGCAGCCTTTATGATGCAAGCTGAGACTGCATCACTCAGCGATGCAATGTCAGACACAATGCACTCAAATGGAGCTAGTGACATCACTGTGACGGGTAGGGTTAGGGGTGGGGTTAGGTGAGCCCATTAAAAAGCATTGGATGCAGCCCAGATTGCACTGCACCAGGTCTGCAGCCAGACCCCTCTCCAATAAGTTAGTGTCTGATGATGTGCAGTTGTTTCTGTGAGGGTTGGTTTAGGGTTAAGGTTAGGGCTATGGTTAGGCCATCGACACTATTATTAACCTGAGAGAAAAACAATGGAAGCCTATTGGCTCGTTTCCACTGAGTGGTACAGTATGGTACAGTTCGCGACGGCCACCTTAATCAGGCTTGCGTTCCCACTTCCAAGGGTACCCTTTTAGTGGGCGGGGTGTATGACAGAAAAGTTTCAGTCGACGTCATTCTCGCTCTAGAAAATGTCTACAGTAAAGCTGCACGGGTCAATCACACATCAAATGAGGAGCACTTCTCACTACACAGATGCTTTATACACATAAATACTGTATAAATGTTCATTACTAACCTGAACATGAACAGGAGTTGATTATAACTGCAGATCAATGACATCTGTGATTATATTAAATAAATAAATGAACATATATGAACACATACAGCCCCTTACAGTCTCCGATATGATACCAACTACAGAAGAACTACACACAGCAGACATTTAGTCCTTATTTAGGTTCAAAACAACAAAAAGTTTAGCCTACAGTCAGAGCAGACCTCTCGTGTGTGTGTGTGTGTAATCTTCAGCAGCACGTGTAGCCTCTGTTAGAGAGTCATTCCATCATTCTGAGTTCATGTTAGTCCAGAGGGTGATGATGATAATAGTTAATAAACAATATAGATAATAGATAATAAACAAGGCAGTTTGTTCACGTTTGCTGAAGAAATAATGTGCTCCTTTTTTCCGGCTTCTCCTTTGTTTTGTTGCGGGTCACTCACGCGTTTGTCAGTGTCTGACAGGATCGGGTTTCAAAAGCACGTCAATAATCAAGCGCACGTTATCATCATCAGCTCAAGACGTTTGTTATTTCAGATGTAGACGCACGGCGAGCACAAGCAAGAAAGCGAAACCGCTCGCGCTTCACACTGGCTCGTAAAAAACTACAGGGCACAGGGTAAATCTGCTCTTCTATTTGGCTTTGTGGCTGTTCATCAAGACGACAACAAGGTTTGTTTAAGCCCGGGTCGACCATGACACGTTATTATATCTATATGTAATTCCGCTGTAAACTCTCGGCTGTGTTTTTCAAACATAGCGGGTTTTTTGTTTTCATGCTGGCTTGTTGCGTAAGCGAATGACGTATCACTGTAAACCAATAGCGTTCAGCTACGCGTCTAGCTCCGCCTTTTGGTATCCTTTCTTGTGGTTGGTACCCTTTCGAAAGGTTGCCGAAAAAGTTGTACGCTTCGGTTCGGTTCGGTACGCCTTTTGACAGTGAAAATGGCCCTTAAAGCTTACCAAACCGATCCGTACCACTCAATGAAAACAGGCCATATGTAGTGCCCTGTGTGTGAGTGTGTATGTGTGTGTCTGTGCGTGCATGCGTGCGTGTGTGTGTTCGTGCGAGCGTGCATGAGTGAGTGTGTGTGCGCGTTACTGCTCTTTCAAAACATTGTCATTTTAGTAATTGAGGTTGTACTTTTAGTTTTCATTGACATTTTACATTTATTCACACAGCATTTTTGTTCTTCATTTACATGTTTTTATTTTTCATATATTTTTTAAAGTCTGTTCATATACTTTATTTCAAGAGTTCACACTTAGATACTGTTTGACAACTTGTTAGCAAGTTAGCAGGTTTGGCATGCTGTCCCAAGGAGAGAACCCTGAGCTCGGAGATAGTTGAGCCCAGGGCTCCCGCCAGGTCCATAAAGCATGTGAGGGGAGTACGAGGTCAGATGTTCTCGAGAGCTCCCCTCGGCTAAAGAGGAAAGGAGGAGAAGGGGTGGATAGGGGGGTTTCTTCGGAAAACGAAGATAAGGGAGTAGATCTTAGCTAGGTTACTTATAGTGAGTTTGGATCAATCCGATTGGCTAGCCAATGAGTGTAGATGAGTGACCAGCTGCAGTCAATCATATCACGTGCTCCTCTCGAAATTAGTTTGTGAAACTTCATTAAATTTTTTTATTTTTTTATGTCATCATTATTACTTTCTATCATTATTTTATTATATTATTCTTTCATTCATTCATACATTCATTCTTTTTTTCGGCTTAGTCTCTTTATTAATCTGGGGTTGCCACAGTGGAATGAACCACCAACTTATCCAGCTTATGTTTCATGCCCTTCCAGCTGCAACCCATCTCTGGGAAACATCCATACACACTCATTCACACTCATACACTACGGACAATTTAGCCTACCCAATTCACCTGTACCGCATGCACTGTGGGGGAAACCGGAGCACCCGGAGGAAACCCACGCGAATGCGGGGAGAACATGCAAACTCCACACAGAAACGCCAACTGACCCAGCCGGGACTCGAACCAGCGACCATCTTGGCGACAGTGCTAACCACTGAAAGAGCTGTATTTCTGACAAATATTGTCCTGCATCTTAACAATGAAATGCTAATTGTATTCCAATCTCCTGTGTGTGTGTGTGTGTGTGTGTGTGTGTTCCTGCTCAGCTGCTGACGACGGTCTACAGACAGCAGGAGGAGCTGAGGAAACTCAAAGAAGAGCTCAGAGAAAAAGAGGAGAGAATACAAACGCTGGAGCTGGAGCTTAACAACCTGAGAAACACACACACACACTGACTCAGTCATGCTTTATTTACACTTAATATCTACAGTTGAAGTCAGAATTATTAGCCCCCTTTGAATTTTTCATAATTTTTAAATATTTCCCGAACAATGTTGAACAGATTCAGGAAATTTTCACAGTATGTCTGATAATATTTGTTCTTCTGAAGAAAGTCTTATTTGTTTTATTTGTTTTATTTCGGCTAGAATAAAATAAAATAAGCAGTTTTTAAGTTTTTAAACACTATTTTAAGGTTAATTGTTATTAGCCCCTTTAAGCCATGACTTGCCTAATTACTCTAACCTGCCTAGTTACCCTAATGAACCTTGTGAAGCCTTTAAATGTCACTTTAAGCTGTATAGAAGTGTCTTGAAGAATATCTAGTCTAATATTATTTACTGTCATCATGACAAAGACAAAATAAATCAGTTTATTAACACTATTATGATTAGAAATGTGTTGAAAACATCTGCTCTGTTAAACAGAAATTGGGGGAAAAAATAAACAAGCGGTCTAATAATTCAGGGGGGCTAGTAATTTTGACTTTAACAGTATATTGAAGATGGATGTACATTTGTAAATTGTGTTTGGCAAAACTGAATTATGAAACTTTTGTGGAGATTTAGTTTGTAATGACATTGGATGATGTTTATAATTGAATATAATGTTGATTTTTTTATCTTATTAAGCTGTTTTTTTTAACCCTTGTGTGTTGTTGGGGATGTTTTCATCCACTCTGGGGTTATTTTAAGTCTTAATTTGCCCTCAACTTTCTTTGTGTTTCAGCAAATGGGTTGATTTTTGCTGACAAATCTTATTTTGTCACATATTTTGGGGAAAATGCTTTCAAAAGATTCAACAATACACTAAAACGGGCAAATTGACTCCCCTTTGGTTATGTTGGGGGCTTTTTTTGCCCCATTGACTTCCATTATAACCACATGTTTTGATTGCAAAGCCACGACAGCATATAATCCTGCATTCTTGATTGTTGCTGGTTTTCCCTGCTGGGAAGAGGTCAAATATGTCATTTTTACTGTTGATACTAACATAACATAATGAACCAGGAATCAATCTGAACAATGCACAAGGGTTAGGATACAAATGTGCAGATGAAATCTTGTTTAGTAACAGATCTGCTTTCACTCTGGAGGAGCTGTATGAAGCTGTTCATGATGTTGGCCAGCAGGAGGCGCTACAGGAGAGCAAAAAACACTCCATCTAGAAATACAGGAGATGTTTGTACTCTGTGATTGTGTTCGTCATTATTTCTGAAGACAAAAGTCTTCTCTATCTAAGTTTCAGGAACAGTAAATAATATCTTAACTTCTAGTTGATGATTTGGTGTCAGAAGTGTCTCTATGAAAGGTAAAGGCCTCTAGATTTTGCTTGTTTGAGCACAATAAAATCTGATCATGTCTTGATTAATAATGATGTGATTAGGACAGTAAGCTCTGACTCTGCTCAGACTAAAGTCTCATCACTGAACCTTCAATAATGTCCAGTATAGAGTATAAAGTCCTGCTGCAGTGGAGACAGAATGAATATTGTGTCTGACTCCATCATGAGCTTGGAGGACTGCATCCATACATCTCTGACACGACTCACATCACTGATTAATAAAGTCATCTGGAATGAAGAAGAAAGCCTTCAGCAGGATCCCAGAGCTCATCAAGAGTATTTGTGTTCATCTTTAACACCTCCTCCTTCATCTTACCCCAGACATGCTCAATAATGCTCACCTCTGGTGATTGGGCTGGCCAATCCTGGAGCAGCGTGACCTTCTTTGCTTTCAGGAGCTTTGATGTGGGAGCTGAAGTATGAGAAGGAGCGCTATCCTGCTGGAGAATTGTCCCTCTCCTGTGGTTTGTAATGTAATGGGCAGCACAGATGTCTTGAGACCTCAGGCTGTTGATGTTGCAGATCTCTTGCACACCCCCATACTGAATGCAACCCCAAAGCATGGCTTTTCCTTCACCAAACTTGACTGATTTCTGTAAGAACTCTGGCTTTTCTTCCTATTATGGATTTCAGGGTTTCTTTTTTCCAACATTCTTCAAAATATCTTCTTTTGTGTTCAGCAGAAGACAGAAACTCATCAAGGTTTAGAAGCACTTTACTGTGAGTAAATGGTGAGAAAAATGCTAAACTATACACCCTTAAAGCTATCTGGTCTCGTTCTTTTAATGTTACTGGAAGAACATTAGCAAACTCGGCCACATAAACCACCAGGAAAACAAACAGTATATTGAAGTAGTAAATCAAGGAGGCACTAATCTGATAGCCATTACTGTATACCCAGTTAATCAGGAGTTGCTTCAGCACAAACAGAGACTCGTTCATTTGTCTTCACTAATAATGTTTGCGCTGCAGGTGTGGAGATTCCTTTATTTCACCTTAAATTCATTATATGTGAAGGTTGTAGTGATCTTAAAGCAAACCAGATTGAAATCAAAGACTAGTGTAGGGTGACTTCTGAAGAAAAGAGCTGAAAATAAAGTTAAAGAGATCCAGAAAGCTCTTGTTTGGGGGCCTGGCAGTGAGGAATCCATCCTTTGTTTATTTATTTTATGCATATTTTTTATTTTTATGTTTCTATTCTTTCATTCATTTAGCTGTTTAGTTGTTTATTTAACTATTTATTTAACTATTTATTTATTTTGTTTATGTTATATTTTTTATTTAACTGTTTAGTTTGTTTATTTTATTTAACTGTTTGTTTATTTATTTATTTAATTGTTTATTTAATTGTTATTTATTTATTATACATGTTTATGTTATTATTTTTTATTTATTTAACTGTAGTTATTTTATTTAACTGTTTAGTTTATATATGTAATCATTTGTTTGATTGTTGTTTATTTATTATGATTGTATATTTGTTTATTTTTATTATTATTTTATTTATTTAACTGTTTATTTACCTATTTATTTATTTAACTATTTATTTATTCAGTTGTTTATCTAACTGTTATCTATTTATTTATTATATATTTGTTTATTTTTGTTATTATTTTTATTTATTTAACTGTTTAGTTATTTATTTATTTTGTGCAGTTATTTAACTTTTTATATAGTAATTTCATTTCTCATTCGTTTTATTTTTTATTTGAAGTTATTTATTTTATTTAACTGTTTATTTATTCAATTATTTATTGTGTCTTTTTTCATTGTTATTTAATTTGTTTATTTAACAGTTTAGTTACTTTATTTTTAAATAAACTATTTATTTATTTAATTATTTAACTGTTATGTATTTATGGAATTATTTATTTAACTGTTTTCTTAATTATGTGTATACTTTATTTATTTTTAACTGTTTATTTAAATAATTATTCAAATTATTCAAGTATTTTATTTATTTGTTTCACTGTTTATTTATGTAATTAACTGTTTAGTATTGATTTAATAATTTTTCTAACAGTTCATGAATATATTTAATTAACTTATATATATATATATATATATATATACTATTTTGTTATTATTTTTTATTTATTTAACTAGTTTTTTTTAACTGGTTATTTATCTATTTATTTACTTTACAGTTTAGTTACTTTATTTTTAATTTTATTATTTATTTATTTATTGAATTATTTAACTGTTATTTATTTATTGAATTGTTTATTTAACTGTTTACTTATTTCTGAATATATTTTGTTTATTTGATTAAGTGTTTATTTATTTATTTAATTATTCATATATTTATTTATGTACTGTTTAATTATTTAACTGTTATTTATTTGATTATTTATTTATTATATTTTTTGTTATTAGTTTTAATTTTGTTAAACTGTTTATTTATCAGTTTATTTAATTATGTATTCGTTTTATTTATTTGTTTAACTGTTTATTTATTTATACATTTCATTTATTTATTTAAGCACTTATTAATTTTATCATTTATTTATGTAATAATTAGGCCTATTATTTATTTAATTGATTTTTGTGTATGTGCTGTTAAGTAATTTACATTATTGAGTTAAGTGTGTTAATTGTCTTAGCTACGTGTGAAACACCCCACTTGACATAAATATTCGCCTCAGGGGGATCAAACCTAAACTAAACTAAACTAACTATAAACACTGGTTCAGTCACTGTCCATCAGACAAAGTCAACACAGTTCTTGGGTTTCACAAACACCGATGAAGAATTTCTGACATTTTTCTGTGGCCAGAATAAAATCACCTCCAGCTGAAAATATGAGGCTGGAATCCAATATCAGAAGATGTATTCAGCAATATGTTTTCCTCTCGGAGCATCGCTGTGGGCTCATTATAAACGAAATACGAGTGACTTGGGATACAAAATAAAGAGCTAGAAATAGAAATAAAGTAGGATACTCAGCCACAAAACCATGAAAAATCCCGAAAACCATTGTCCTTAGTTATTTTTAAACTATTATTTAATATTTCTTCCATCAGTTTATTATCAGACATATGCCAGATGCCGGATCGGATTCGAAAAAATGTCTGAAATGATTTGTGATTCAGTTTGACTCATTCAGACAGTTCACTCGCACTGAATCATTTCGTCTTACAGTCTAATTGGATACTTCTTTGTTAGTATTGATACATGTTTAACATTTTAAATAGTTTTATCCTCTTTAAAACCATACTGTACTGTAATGTTGTGTCTTAGAATAAAATAATGATTTGTGTGAACAAAAAAAAAACGACCAAATAAATGAAGAGTTCACTGAACTCAGCTGAGGACGGATCGTGGGATGAACGTGAATGAATCACACGCGAATATATTTGCTTTACCCGGACAGTTCACTGAATCGTTTATTTTAAAATGAGTATTTAATATGTTTTCCATCAGTTTATTATCAGACAGATGGCGGATCGGATTCGCAAAAACGTCCGAATTATGATCTGTGATTCAGTTTGATTCATTTGCAGTTCACTCGCACTGAATCATTGGTCTTGCAGCTTAATTGTATTTATATATGTTTATCATTTTAAATAGTTATATCCACTTTAAACCATGCTTTATGTGTATTTAAACCAAAATAACAATTTGTGGGAACAAAACAAAAAAACGACCAAAATAAACTACGAGTTCACCGAAGGATCGTGGGATGAACGTGTGAGTTTGAGTTGCTAACACGT